TAGGCCAACGAAGCTGTTGTAATGTAGATTTTCGAAAGTAGAATCAGATTACAGTTTGAAATGATGGTCGTGTTTCATCATCATTAGTCTCGGCTTTCCTCATCATAATCAGCTTATATTTGTCCCTATGCTGGGCGAAGGCATAGAGACTTAACACAAAGGTCCTTTTTCACAATTTCTAACATTAGCAATTATTCAGAATATGATCATAGCAAGGTGGTGAAACATGCGTTATAAAACAAAAGAGCTTCATTTTAGGTAAAGTGTATAGAAAACAATGATTGGCACCATTTAATGAAAATATTCATACAAAAGAAAAAGATGCAAGTGTAGTCTACTTAGAAAAAAAAAACAATCTTCCATCCCCACATTAATTGAACAACTATTTAATATACAGTACGGAGACTACAGACTCGACTTCCGCGGTACAAATGTAGAGCAATCCCTTAAAGTGGCTTGAAACTAAAAGATAAATGATGCACCGTTATTGACTCACTCATTTGTAAACGTTATACTAATGAACGAAACAAACATTTTTAACTAAAATTTGAAAATATTCAACGAACTGGGAAATATATATATATTTCCCAGTTCGTTGAACTGAAGATAATAAATAAAGAAATAATAAATGAATTAATTGAACTGATTTCGGAATGCAAAACTTCTTTACAAGGTACTTAGAAGGAAGAAGTTTAGGATTTCTATTTCACTCAAACCATAGAAGCATAGAACAGGGTAAAACAGTTTTTCTGTAAGTACTCTGTTTACTAACCAATTCTCTGGCCACATTAAAAAACCTAACCTAACCCGATTCTGAAAGTGAACCTTACCTTTAAGCATTAAAGTTTAAAATTCAAAAAGCACATAAAGAGGGGCAATCGCATTATGGTACCGTGGCTTCAAACTAAAGCAGGAGAAGGAAAGGTTTTTAGTCAGTAAGAGTGTGACAGTCAGTATCACCCTGGGCGAGAGAATTCATTTAAAGATATTCCCGTTACAAAAAAAAAGGTTTCTACTCGAAGGAGGACTAGAAAAAAGGATTCCTTTTTTCTAATATTCATACATGATGTACCTTCAAACCAATCGCGCACATAAAAATCAATAGAAAAGTGATAAAGGCACCGTCCACACGTTAGTGCCAAATAACTGTAAAGAACTTTTCACATTGTCATGTGTAGGTAACTTTTAAAATAGCAATGCATTTTTGTTTCAAAATTTCCAAGTGCTCTTTTCGAGTGATCCCAGAAGAGTATTCAAGAAGTTTGCGATTCATTCATAGCATCTGTTCCTTTGCAGTTAGGGTGCGAAGTTTGCTCTTTGAGCACACATACTATCAGTACCTTTTATTTAAACATAAAAATATAGTACTTTCAGGTACTAGTGTAGTGAAACTGTTTTTATTAGAAGTAGGGTTCATTTCTGTTTGGTTTTTTGTCTTTCACCGCTTTTATTAGTTAGACGTAACAAAGACATGATAAAATAAGTAAACTATTATGATAAAGTGTTGTTAACCAATCCCAAAGCAATGCTTCTACAATCTAAATACCAGAATCCGATTCAAGCTTGTCTAAAGCACCAAATAAAAAAAAACATTTAATTTATTTTTTATTAATCGAATATTTTTTATGTATTTATCCAAGAAATTTTAAATATGGAACTGTCGCAACAAGACATAATCATCCTTTACATAAACTCCTTGTTGTAATACGACGTACCTACACGTAAAACGACGGACGCGTGTACTTACTATAATTATACATACATATTCTACGCACAACTACACATGAATATATAACCAGTTTGTCATGGTCTCAATTAGTACGACCCTTCCGCACATCTTACGGTCACTTTAAATTGGTTGTACACACATATAATACATCGTACCTATATCATTAAGTGCCTTTATTAAAACTCCGTACAAAGTAGTTGGGTAAAGGTCGGAGGTATTGTGGACCCTCACTTAGTTCAAAGGTTCTCAGCGTGGGAGTGACAAAACTTATGTCCTCACATTAAGCCCTCTCCGTGGTAGATAACCGTTTTAATACTTTTAGCTGTTTCTAATCTCGTAGTGATTATGATGATAAATACTTATTAATATATTTTATATGTTACTTAGTTGCATAATACTACTACTAGTACCTGACTGCCCAGTTGGCGCGGTGGCTGGGTAACTTATCGCGGGTTAAATTCCCGCAAGGAACACTTGAACACGTAACGTAACTACCCAGTTACGTTACTGTATCCAATCACACAATTTATCATAGATAGATAGGATGTCTACGCTATGACGATCAATCGGTGTGTATTATTGATTAAAATAAAAAATGTTTATTTACTAAACAACACCTACATACTTTTTCAAGGATAAAAAGGTTGTTAAATGAAAATATGTTAATTTTCTTCGTTCAAATCTAAGAATTTATTAACCACTTAATATGTATTAAACCATTTCCCTCTTATTACAAAACAAGGTTTATCTTTAGTCCAGGTTTAAACCATTGACTCGGGTTTTGAATTTTGAATCTTATTGTCCTTCAATTCGAAATACAAAAACTGTTTCAATGGTTTAGTCCTAGACTAACGTAAAACCTTGTTTTGTAATAAGGCCGTTTAAGTCTAATATTTATTTAACCAGCTTTGTCTGTATTTATGATATTAGGTCGATACTAAACTTCATCAAATTCCTACCCTAATCGCGATGGATAGTAAGTAATATTGAGTGACAGCGCGTCATAGGTCTATTGGAAATTAAACTGATCGGCTGATAGCATAGAACAGTGAGGTTCATTCACATCGCTTAATTCATTTTAAACTTCGAACGCGTAACTGGCCGTTTTTATATTCAGTTTAAATTACGTATGCTATGCGTTACACGGTAAAATATGTCGAAAAAAGAATTTATTTAAAAAAATCTAAAAAGCTATTCATTTCATTAGAACATTGCACATAAAATATAAATGTGCCTACGTTACCTACCTTGATATTTAACATTTTGATTTTTTATTCGAAAACACGCTACAAAACAATTTGGCAATGTTTCAATTTGCTGCAAAATTATTAAGTTAAAAAAAGCGTACAAGGTTTAAAAAATACTGAAGCCGATTGGATGCAAAACACCCAACTGAACAGAAAAAATAATAGGAAAAATGTTACTGTATTTTATATGTAAATCCGCCTATACTGATGTTCCTTTATAAGCCTTGTTTGATCGACGAGTGAAAACAAGTTCTACCAGTTAGAAACGTAAAAAAGAAAATTATAATTATCTCACAGCAAAAATCATTACGAGAGAAAAGAGAGACTGTTTAAAACTAAATAAATAAAAAAAGTCGCAGAACTGAAACTAGTTTCAAAATAATTAACCTTTTAACTGCACTGGAGTTTCTTTAATAAAAGCTGTATCTTGGGTGTCGGCCAATAAATGAAAAACCACATTTCTTTCATTAAATATCCGAAGATTTAATCTGTTCCATGAGTAATTTTTCAAAAAATTGTGAAAATTGTTGAGCTAGAGTTAAAACGGAGCTCAGACGAGCAGCGTGTTGATTTCCTATTTCTCTGTAAGTTTCTGAAATAAGTTGTATGAAAGTGAATGTTTCCAATATTTTCCACATTCTTCTATGTCAAAATTGGAATTGTAACTTTTTAATTATTGGAAGCAGTCAGCGTCTTTACTAATATTAGTTTACTTGTATTATTAGTTCATTAATATTCTATAATAGATCACGCAAACGTATATTTTAATTTTAATTAAATACGGAAATTGATAAAATTGCTCCTTAAATATTGATAAGTACAAAATTGTAAATTAATACAATAATTAATTAATTTTCTTTAGTTTTTTGTCAACTACGTTAAAAGTGTTCTTAGGTTTTTGCAATGTGTCCGTAACGACCAGTCGTCATGATGGTGTATTAGATAATTTTACAACTCCAGAGAATATAATTTTATTACAAGGAAGGCTGCACTCAGCGGCGCTGGCAATGGACAGGCTACTTTTATTTCCCCACTGCCTCTAATATACAACCTTCAACGATAAATGTTAACAGTCTGTTTATTTTCACAATTTTTCATGCTTTTTCACTTTCCTGCTCTAGATTCTCGTTCTTTATGGCATAATTTGCATAAAACAGTGCCGTTCTTAAATATTAGATTATATTTAGTATTGTGAGTTAGGAGATAGTTAACTTTGTGATTTACGTTTCATTTTTAAAGAAATATATAATTATTTATGACGTAATCAAACATACCTTGGAAATATTTTTCGACCACCTTTGGTTAAGTTTAGCAAGGAAATGTTAATAATTGTAGGTACGAAGTTCTGAGTACTCCGAGGTTCGAGCAAAACAAGAACAAATGTCGAACTATTTCTCTTGTTACAATTTATCTTACTCCAGCGACTAATTACTGGCCGATATCTAAAGGAATTCCAGCAAAGTTCGTGGCAACTGGGAAAAACTTCTCGTATTAACGAAGCGAATGAGAAATTTTTCAACATCTCGCTTTTATTTTTTGAGTTTACGATTAAAAACCGAACTTTTGGTTTCGGAAAGGTATATCTGAGTGTTTCGCTGCGTTGCTTCTTGAAAATTGTTGCTAACTTCCATTATAGACGGTTTTACTGTTCGAATAAGATTATTTTCTGTCTATTCCTGTTGCTATTCTCATGTCTAGGACGGTCTAGTTTTATTACCTGACGCGATTATAAATTTATTTTGGTATATTGCTTTAGTTTTTACATCCGACTGATGCTAGCTACTATCTTTTGAGTGGGTCTATATTTGTTTAACGTGTATCGTGATACTAACCTGAATACATTCCATTTACAACTAAGACTTATTCCAGAGCGTTCGAATAGTTTCGAGCTATAGCAGGACTCATAAGTTTGAGCTGAGTGCGCATGCTCGCAACTAACGACTTCAAGCCAGTACAATACTAGTACCCTTCAGATAGTTTATATTAGTAGTAAACCATTGATATAATATGTCTTTATAACTCACAGTGAAAGTCGTTTCGCGAGTGCCGCTTGCAGTTCCTTCAGGGTCGACAGGAGTTCGGAGGCTTGAGGGCAGCAGTTCAATCAGGTTCGTCGTGCGGGGTTGGTAGCGGAGGACCAGAACGCAGGTTGATACCAGGGTGTAAGCCAGAAGAGTTCCTGATGAAGAAAATGTACTTATGTAATTTTTATGAAACACATAATAAAACATATATCACGTGTGTCGTAGTTTGAGTTGAAGTTTGAATATTAAATGGGATGGTTATCACTGGATAGTTAAGATTTTAGTTAGTAGGGGCGTATAGTGATTAAGGGTTTTAGTGTTTGATTATTGTGACAAATAAGTTTGATCTTTAGGCTTCTGAAAAGTAAGTATAAGGAAATACGCCTTCATATTTGAGCAGGTATCGCAAGGTAAAGTATCAGCACTATTCGACTATTACCGATTATGTTTCTGTAAGTCTAACTGATTTGAGCCTACATTTTATACTTTACTTTTTTTATCGTGAACGAACTCTTATGTTTCAGCCGGGGTTACGAGGGTAAGCGCAATCACTATTGCACTTGCAGCCACAACCTCGGGAACGGTGCAATTACCGTGGCCTAAGCCCGGAGCAGGAGTAGGTGCGGGATGGTTCATAATCAGTAACAGGCTGATACTTCCTCTCGCCTCATCCAGGAGGCGAGAAGTAATTTGATGAATTTTCCCCTTTGAAAAACATTTATGGTACCAACCGCCAAAAAAACCATTAATAATAAACAAAGCAGCAAGTTTGTTTAATCATGTTTGTAGTTTTTAAGGGAATGGAAAATTAATTAACAATTTCTCTCTGAAAGCCGGGATCGAAAGTGTAGTGATTGCTTTGATGCCTATCTGAAATTGATGTCATAATGAGTTTTCATGCCAGCGGAGGCTAGTGTCAACATTTTGGTGTTAAGCTTCTAGTATCTGTTGTGTGTTGGCCTAACTCAGTTAAGGTTAGTTTTAATTGGATTTTTCTAGTGATCAGTCTTGTAATCAGATCTCTTTAACTTGCACTTTGTCCTCTTTTTCTTCAACAGTTTTGCTATGCCAAGTGTGGAAATGTATTTTTAGATACGAATGATCTGGATTGCACAGCCTCACAGAAAACCGGCGTGACAATGCGCTTGTTTCAAATTCATTGTTCTTTCTTGCTTGTATCAGAACCAATAAAAGGCCGGCAATGCAATTGTTTTTTCTCTAGTGCTGCAAGTATGTGTTGCAAGAATAATCATTGCTTTCCTCGTTCACCAAAAAATATGACATTCTGATTGACTGACATTCACATTCTTTGTACAGTTGCTACGCATATATATAGCTACTTACATACGTATCTAAAAAAACTATGAAATTTTTTTTGGAAATGAATTAACAATAACTAGTCTAATTAAGAAGAAAAGAAAATTAATTGAAATAAAAGTTACTTTTTTATTTGATAAAATAAGCTTATTTAATAAAAATGCCATAAAAGTAAAAACAAATGGATTTTGTGTGTATTTATGAGTGAATACGTTTTTGCCTTTGTAATTAAATGTAGATTGTAACAAAGGCAGTTTACAATGCATACTCCTGCATAAAAATTATCCTCTTTGAAGTAAAACCGACTGAAATAATTCTTTGTGAGGTAAACTACAAAACTGTTTTAGTTTCATTTTGCCTGCGGGCGGTACATAATTATTATATTTTGTTGTTGAAATTAAGATTTGCTTTATTGTATGTTAAATAAAAATGCTTGGTTTTGTTATTATATAGGAAACCAGCAGCCCATTCATGTTTGTTTGATAATCTTTGTGAATTTATTTTATAATTCGCTTATTAATCCTATTTTGTTACATTATAATTGTGTAAGTTTGTTATAAGTTAATGTATATGGATTTATGTTTCTTATTCTTTCACGCAATAATGACTGCACCTATTGGGTAGACATTTTGTATGTAGATAGGTGATATCCTTGATTCATAGGCTTATTATTCACATGTCAAGCGTGTGAAGACTTAGGCGGATGCTAGTTTTGCATAAACACTTGAGTTATCTTTATATTTAAAAATGGATAGCTAAATGTGTTGGTAAGCTCATAACTCAACAACGCCTGGACCAATTTTGCTAATTCTTTTTTTGTTGTGTTTGTTATTGTCAGGAGAAGGTTCTTATGAAAGAAAATATGAGAAAACTAGAGGGGAAGATTAGGAAAAAGTAACCCTTTGATAGCGAGATAGTTGGACCCGTGCGAAGCGGGTGAGGGCCGCTAGTATACAATATTTTTTAAATTTCCGTTACAATTAAGAGACTAACCCGCATGTTTTGGGTAGTTGCATTTGACGCAGAAGCTGGGCCACCGGCGAACGTGCAACGTTGTTTTAGTGTTGCTTTGGCGTACAGCCACATTACAATAACACAATTCCGAAAGCAAACTCCCTGCTACTGCGTATGGGTACTGCTATGCACATGTTACCAGCGATTGCCTGCCTGTTACGTAAAGTCGTCGTTCACCTATTGAACGTAAAAAAAACAAATAGTTCAATTTTCCTGGCGGGTGTCAGTCTGTCGGTTTTTCCTCTAGTGAAGCGTAATTTTGTGAATGAGGTTTTTAGTTCGTTATTTTCCATTCGAATCGAGATTTTACAATACTTGCTCGTGTGACAAAATTCGCCTCGTACTACGACTAATTATTATAAGACTACTCCATAATCTGTGATACATAAGGTATGAAAAACTATATAGGATTATAAAGCACTCCGTCTGGTTGGAATTTACTTTTCTAGCAATATTTTATGACGCAAAAATTCTCGACCTTCGTAGCGTTGAAATTTTTTAAGCTGTGCTCTCGCTACCTACATTTTTGCTTTAATATTATGTGGTTATGTGCTATTCGACGCTTTCCGGTCATACTCGAATAGAGAGAGATTTGCTAAAACTATTTTCTTTTGCTTCAAAGTTTTTTTATGTAATAGGTCGGCAAACGAGCAATCGGATTACTTGATGGTAAGCAATCAGCGCCGCCCATGAACACTCGCAACGGAGGAGTTACGAGTGCGTTGCCGATCTTTTAGGGATTAGGGATTTGGAGATTTAGGGATTGGGTGAGGGGAAGGATTGGGATTCCGGTAACCTCACTCACACGGCGAAACACAAAGCTGTGGTTGTTTCTCGCCGGTTTTCTGTGAGGCCGTGGTATCACTCCGGACGAGCCGACCCATTCGTGCCGAAGTATGGCTCTCCCATACTTAAATTTTCTTTGCTATTAGGTAGTGCTTATCAGTTTCGTCGCAAGCTCAGAATTTTGTCTTACAGTGTAATTATAATGATGGGCTGTGTATTTTTATTATTATTTTACATTAACATCTCTATACTAAGTGCTTTCAAGTCACAACGGGACTTTTCTTGATGTGCAGAGTACGTGTAGGATAACGTTGCGCAACTTACATTTCTCATTCCTACAATAGTTACTATTCAAAAATTACTTTAACAAATAAAATATCTGAAACAAATGCCCTACAATTACAATGTTCTACGGGATGTCACATAAAATTCACTAACATTCTGTTCCCAAAGTATTTGTAAGCAATCAATATTTTGATACGCTCATCAAAATATTGTTTAACATTATTACGTACATTTCATGGAGAGCCATTATAACCATGATTAACTGAACACGTGTAACATACTACAATGTGTTGTTTGTAACAGTAACAGTTGGCAACTATGTAATAAAATTCAATTTTTTTTTATATTGTCACATAATTACTATGAATTTTGTCTGTAGTCAATTAGAATTTTTATTCCTCCATTCTAAATTTATGAATAAAAGTGTTTTTGTATTGAAATGCTGGAATTAAGTATTGTATATTTAGGGATAGACAACTTATGATCAGGGATGGGGGTAGATTAGTCCTTCGGTAATTTCACAAATATTGTGCAATTCAATAAGAGCACTGTTTTACGCCGCTCGTTAATAGATTCCAAAAAGTATTTAGCCTTTTCCATGTGAAAGAGTTTCGCACGGAAAGTTCGTCTGTATTTTTTACGGAATGTTGATAGGTAATCAATAGTTACCCTAACAACTGGTCAAATAATACCTTACCTACCATTAAATCGTTATTATTTATTAATAAATAAAAAATATAAACCTAAATCTGAGTTGTTTGTTTTTTGTAATCAATTTCTAGACCAAAGAACATCTAGCTGTAGGTCAAATTTTTACTTTGAATGTCCATGGTTTAAATTGAAAAACCTGTCTTTATGAATAAGAAAAGTAATTTAAGCAAAAATAAATATACATATAAGTACTTTGTCATAACATAGCTAGTTAAGAATTGGTATTTTAAACTTTAATACGTTTTAACTAATTTGTGTTTTGTTTTATGACCTATTTAAAAATGTAATATATTTACATAGATTGTTTTAGTAGTTAACGACTTAAGAGATTTTTTATTCGCCAGGACTTTAAATGATGTTCAAGAATAAAAATAATAATATCTTAATGAAATCAAGGTTCAAAGTGCACCTTATTGACAAAAAAGGTGGAAGGATGCATAAAGCGGATAGAATTTTGGCAGTTTCGTTATAAAGACCTCTCTTTTCGAACTAGCAGAGAGCTAGATTATATCGTTACCATATTTCATTTCGAAATTTGTAGTGATCGAATATATCAATGGTATCGTGTTTGATATTAAAAAACAGAAACAAAAATATGAAATATACGTGAATGCATACAAATATTCCAAACATTGTGTACTTTTAGAGTAAAACCAACAGAAAAGACTGCTAAGTGTCACTACGTCCATATCGATTTCGAATTTGGGTTGAGAGAGGCCACCACAAACACATTTATACATTGACAAAAGTATTAAAAACCTCCATTACATTCAGTGCAACCGTGCACCGTAATATCAAAACACACCGACCTAAAAATTTTAATACAGAATCTTCATGAAAATGTTACAAAAACGACAGAATAGTACCGAGTTCTCCCCTCGTAGTCGGTAGTCTTATAGGTATAACTGTGGACTTTCTAAACTGACATTGTTCCTCGGTTGCGGCCTCCCCCTATGTAGGTCAAGGGAACGATGTGCGCCGTCGGGTTGCGTGTAATCTGAATGAACAGACGAAAAACATTCTATGTCAAAGAATCAAGAAT